TGTTCTGACGTCAGAAACAAGGTGCTCCGTCTATATGGGCAACTCTCCACCAATCAGGGGAATGATAGGTTGCCATGGCATGGTAACAGCATGGTAACAGCATGGTAACATGACGCTTGTGCCTCGCCCCCCTCCTTTGCAGGGGGGCGTGGTCAGCTGCAGCACATTTGCCACAGAATCAGCCCCTGCAAAAACAGGGCTGGAGTACAGCAAATAGAGTGAAATGAGGCATGGCTAAAATGCATGATCTGTTTGGTATTTTGAAAAAAAAAATTCAGACATGTTTTATATAGGTATGGCCCTACAATATATTATTCAAATATAGCATGATAGGTCCATAACGCTAGAGTGGCAACACAATGATAATGGTAACATGCTGATTTTTAGCAAGTATAATACTTATCATCTACCACTGTTTTAGTTCAGTGTTTTATCATAGTAACATTAGCTAGTTTGCAGTGGATCACTGAAAAAATAACGTCTAGGTTAGGCACATTGTTGTAGTTTATAGTTACAAAACCTAGTGTACTTAAAAGCATCACTTTGTTTTTGTTGTTTTTTAAACTTCATTATGGCACCTTTCAAATATTCAAAAGGCATAAGTCTTTGTTTGTAGCAAAGTGGAACAATCCTTGTCAAAACTGGTGAAGGAAATCTTGGCAGTCCACCAACAATAACCTGTCAATTATCCAGTCAACAGTAAACAACTGAAGTAGTGTCTCGCATAAATTGTTATAAGCTTCATCAGCTTTACCAGAGCTGACACACAGACTTCTCAGTCTTTTGGCTTGTTAGGAATTGTGTAGTGTAACAATACTTAACATAAGGAGAAACTTGAAAGAAGTGTTTTGATGCACTTGCTTCTGCCTGCAGTAGCCTTCAGCAAATAATGTATCCCAGTGTAGTTAATGAGGAAAGATATGAATGGTCAAATGTAGCTGAGGCATTGAGTTACCCCTCTTTGAAGTGTTGCTTTTTGAATATTAATACAATTCATGACCTATTTGCTACTTAACGTTATGTAAATTCCCGACGGCCTTGTTGCCCTAATGCTTTCATAGAGGATAGAAAGATGCTTTTGGCACAACCATAATATAATTAAAAAGGGAGTGCATGTATAAACTTTATAACTGTTTTTGCATTTTTTTGGATTTCTGAGCAATTGTGAAAATGAGCATCAAAGTCAGGATCTTATTATAACACAAAAACCTCTGGGTGAAGACATTTGTTTGACAGCAGTGCTCCCTGGGGTGTAAAAGATGGTTACCCAACACCCCCACCTTGCCATCTGTCTGGATACATTGTAGCTTGTTGTAAATCCCACAAGGATACTTCCAATGCACAGAGACAGAAACACAGAAAAGTGCTTTTAGGAAACACAGCAAACTCGCAGCCTGTTACGAGAGTCGAGTATGAAATGAGAGTCTTGCAATGCCTTGAACTATGTACTGCTTAAAAAGTTATATTCAAGTTTAAATATAATTGTGTCTGAGTTGCCACCAAGAAAACAGAGAGGAAAGTTTTTCTACTAGTGTTTGTAGACAATGCTGTGTACATAAATATTTATTCCTGGGCGTTCTGAGATAAATTAAATCTGAAATAGGTTTTTACACGGTTCTGTGAGACAGCTTTAAGAGAACAGTGATCAGAGTGGATATAGCCTGTGTCTGACATGTCAGGGTTTATGTTGCAGTTTTATAAACCTTGTCTTGTGTGGTGGTCAAGTTACCGAAGAAGATGCCAAAAGGATTTGCTGTGATGAGGGCATCTGGGTTGTCCTGTGTCCCCACATGTCTATTCTGCTTAAGTCTCCTTGAGCAAGAAACCACATCCGTATCTGCTCAGTAGGTGGCACATTATTTATCTGACACTGTTCCAAGGCAAAACATATTGCATTTCCAAAAAAACATTAACATGAAAATGGCTTTCACTTTTATATGGCCGAAGTGTAGTGAGTAATCAAGTTATATTAAGACATGACAAGACTCCATTTAAAAGCTATGGATTTCCCCCCCAAAAGATTGATTTAAAGGGGGAATTGATCCAGGATAAAGTGCATTTTGTTTCTTGCAGCATATAGGTACAACTCTCTCAAACCATCTAACTTTTGAACACACATACAGTTACATGTAAAGTACCTCTGCAGTATGCTCAATGATGGTATTTCAGGGCACATCACATCCAATATTTTCCAATCTCTCCATGGGTACTTCAACAATGACAATTCACAAGGATATTGTTGCAGGAATCTATAATAATCTTGAAAATCGTGAACTAATAATAAATGGCTAAGAAATCATCAAATTAAACATTTCCCTACATTTCCCGAAGATTATGCCCTTACACTTTTCTTACACCTTTTCCATGCCTAGCTGGCATCACTTTTACTCACATCATCAATCTGATTTAACATTGCCCACAATAAGGAATAAACCACAACACATACAATACACTTATGAATTGCATGTCGGCGTGTGGGGGACTAAAGTAATGTAACATGGCCATTTAGTACAGCATGTAATGTCTCTTTCTTTGTAATTATGGCCTTCAAAGAAATACTCAATAGGGAATATGTTAGGGGAATAATACATAAGTCTCTTCCCCCATTTAAAGGTTTAATAAGCTGAACTGTACTGTCAGAACAAACTGAACACTTTTCAGGCGAGTGGTTAGTCTCCTTCTTAAAGCTGTCGGTTCAGTTGTGAGAGATGGTCAGGGAAGAGATGAAGGAAATGTGCAACAGTGCAGCAATAGCTGCATTTAAATTCAGGCTGACACAGTACATGGGCAATCTGTAATAGTCCACTCGTACTTCATAGTGCTTGATTCAAAAGCTTCACAACCAAGTCAGATCTATGTGGAGTGTGAAATGATATCACTATCACTATTAAAAGATTGTATAACATAATACAAACTATAAATTGTTGTATGTCATTTTTGTTTTGGCGTTGATGCTTTTGATTTTGAGATTTGTGTCTCTCCCTCTCTCATTTGAATAAGGAAAAAAGAGCCCTTTCAGGTTCAATCGTTTTCAAACCAGGAGGAGACCCTGCCGATGATCACCTTGGTGAGCCGCATTTATAAATAAACCCACGAAACAAGAAACATATTTTAGATGTGTAAAGACACATTTTACAACATATTCACAAATGTGGTAAGGTTGTCCATCGAGGCTTGTTTGTTGGCACTATAAATTACACGCTAAAGTGTGCATGTCCGGCGAGATACAGAGAAGGACATGCCCTTGATGTGCTGAAGAGCCATGAGGAAAACGAGATGATAAAAAGAGGGTGCGTATCAGGCATGGACTGGAGGTTAATGTGAGCTTTATAGTGTGCCAGTGACTGAAAGAGGGACAACATTGTATTCAAAGTAGATAATTTTGAATTGGTGACTATTATTAGTTGTCTGGGTACTGCCAGGAAAATCTCAGAGAATGAAATTATGCATACAGCCAACAGACTGACGTTGTAATACAGAGCACTCCAGCTATGAAAGCCTCTTATAAACATCAATTCACTGTATTCACAACACAGCATTTTATTTCACCTTTTGCCAAAGCTTTTCTTTTCTCTTGATGTGAAATATTATTCTCATGTTTAGTGTATATGGGAGGATGAAGAGGGATTTTATTACTTTTCTCAGGTTGGCAGTCATAAGCCTGGATAAGCCCTCATAAATATGAGTGTATCTCACACATACTGTTTCTAGTTGTTGCAAATATACTGGCAAAGTTTAGCACATCTCGGAACCAAATCCCCCTTTCTGGGTTAAGTAAATACCACGCTACCCCAACAGCAATACATTTCTCTTCATATCAATCTAAAATGATGGACCTTACCACGACAGACAACATATTCAAGGACACTGGACACACATGAATGTCAGTTTATGTTCAAGATGTAATGCATCAATTATTACTGAAGCCTTTTACCTTGCCTGAAAGTTGTAGGAAGGAACAAAAACGTTGAAAGACGAAAGAAAAGGATAAAGGTATGCCACATTGGCTGGCTGAAGTCCTTGAGGCAGGCATGAATACACTCTGAGTCAATAATTTATTCACCCAGACACACACAGTCAAACACACACACACACACACACACACACACACACACACACACACGCACGCACGCACGCACGCACGCACGCACGCACGCACGCACGCACGCACGCACGCACCACACACACACACACACACACACACACACACACACACACACACACACACACACACACACACACACACATACAAAGGGCGACGGAGAGAGACAGAGAACTGCTGCAAAGGAAAACAGAAGACTCAACAAAAGCTTCAGGGACAGAAACACAGACTGAGACTAACAACTGGAAGACATACTATGTTGCCAGATGTGAGATTGTGCTAGGGAAGAAATATAGACATATCAAGGTTGTTTAAGTCAGTGGTATTTCTACAATGTTGTAAGCCTGATGTAAGCAAATAGTAAAGGTTTTCTCCCTTGGTGAATTCTTACAGTCATATGCCGTCTTCACACTGCCTGACACATCTCTTCAAGCTTACATAATGTAGATCTGCCCTAATTTCCCTCTCCCTATAGCTGAATTCGGGTCTTCAAGCAACTAAGCAACATAACACCATCAATCTGACAAATACATTGAGTCGAAGGTGATCCACTGTGCTTTGTTGTCTTATTAAAATTAGAATACAACGAAAAATTCACAAGTAAATACAATTCAGATGTATGCATTTCTTGCAATTCAGCTTGAGTCTTTCATAAACAATGTTTACAATTTAGGACGTGCAACAAACACACATGTCAGAGAGCTGAGTTACAAATGAGTTCACATTCAGCGTAGTATATTTTTGCTCCAGATTTTTTTTTCTGTGTCAGGTAATTGGATGTTTCCATGGATACTGCTATGTATGCAAGGGTCGGGTAGCATGTGCATAAAGATGTGTTCATATTGCACAGTTACAGTAAGGTCACATATCCTTACTCAAGCTTTAAACACACCAAGAATAACACTACAAAACATATTTTGTTGTTTTGAGATGCTTGAGAACAAACATTTAGAATCTAAAGAGTACAAGATACTCATATTTTGAAAAGTACTGTTTGTAACACTGCCCTGGGCCTGTTCTGCTAATGTTATTTGCGTGTCTGTTTGAACGCTTAGGCATCAGATATTCATTTCATTTATACATGAGAGAATTGATCGTTTGAGTTCTTAGTCAACATGGTGGTTCTGAGTGAAGCTAAGACACCACAGTACGATCTATGCCACTTCAACTTTGATTATGCAACACACACATTTTTGATATATCCCATTTGCCTATTTGAAACCGTGACAATGGCTTGATCTGAACATTTGAGTTGTATATTATAATTGTAGTAAAGGCCAATGTTTTTCTTTGCAACATTTTCAAAGCTGTCCTCTCTGTACACTATGACATTTACTTCACACACCATTTGTTTAGAGGGTGAAGGGAACACAGAAACCAGGGTATAACAAATGAATGCATATATTTTATTCATCAGCTAACAACTAAAGAAACAGCACAATGTAGATATATTTACCCCACATAATCCTAGTTGTACTGTGTTTTTTTGCAGTAAGAGACCAGATTCTTGCTTTTCAGATCTAATTTAAGTTTGCATGGAAATGCTGATGAAGTGTTCTATATACAGATCTGAGGTTGACATAGAAAAAAGCAGTGTTTCGTATGAAAAAAAAAAAAACCAAACATAAAAAAGTTGGGGTCAAATAAGACACTGTCTGGATCTCTTATTTTTTGCAAATTAAACATTTGTTCACATACACAGGACAGTCACATTTCAATTCAACATATTTTTGGATTATTAGTATGTGCAGTCTCACATGTGACAGATATCGGCATTTGGTCATTGATAACAAAATCTGAAAGAGCAAAACATATATCAAATGTCTGTTATATACAGTAAATACTGTGTTCCATTACACAGCTGCTTTCTCAAGATTCATACAGATTGAAAGAAACATCATGACAAACAAAATGTTAAAGATATTGGATTTTCCTACATCAACCCTGGAAAATTAAGTTATTAGTATTTGTGTTGTTCTATTTTGTCATCTGTGCATTCATTTTGTTGCAAAAAATGTACCACACAGTTATAAAAAAGCAATTGTTTAAAGAAATAAAACAATTAACTAAATGTTGGACACCGCTCACAATACAAACATTGTGTGTGTAACTTTCTGTGCAGGTTTACAGTGTTTTCACCACTAACTTTACACCAATATATTGATTTAAAGATATCCTACATGTAGTACAAATCTGTGCAGGTTAACATCATGCTGCACTGTGTTGACTTCATTTTAATTCCAATAAATGTTCTCATAGCAGACACAGATCAAATTACGAAATAATCACAAAATGACTGTGGACTTGTGAAAGGCAACACTGTATACTTGATAAACAGCATGACAAATGCTGCAGTGTAATACATGGTGACATGCAGACACAGTCCAGATACACATGTCCTCTAACTAGCTAAGTAAAGATGACAGGTTTAGGGCATAATACTGCATACAGTATGAGGTGAATGTACACTGTGTATTAAACTGTTAGGGAAAGACACATTTCTGTGCTTACACTATTGACCCAGAAATGTGTTTGACTGCATTAGGACTGGATGATGTGCTTTGCATAAAGACACCTCTATCCATTCAAGCATTCATTCCGTGTGCTTCTCAATCTATTAGCTCTTGAAGACCTTTATGAATTTGTTACACACACCATCAATCCCTTCTTAAAAGAGACATAACGAGAGCTAATTGCAGTCAAATTGCCAGATTTCATGCAACCAAGCACACAATTGAAACAATGCCAAATAATGTGTGTTTTTCATTGTGATGCAATACACACACATCCTCTCAGCATGTTGCTTTAAACACATTAAATTAAACATTAATGAATTCTTAGAAAAAAACTATTATCCAAAATGTGAATATTCTGAGGAGTTTCTGAGTTTTCCCTTTTAAATAAAGATGTATGACATTTGATAATATGCTTTAATATCATGAGCAACTGAGAGGATGGGCTGTTTGCATTTTGTAAAGATTGTCTGAGTTAACTCCATAGCTATGCATAGTGCATAATGATTTAACATGTAGTACTTTTACCTACACAGCTATCATACCTACTTCTATGGCTATACAGTACGCACATGTTACCATATTGTACATTTTATAAAGTGACATCATTGTTAACCTGTAGAAGTTAATAGTGCAGTTTTTTAAAATACAATGAAATGAAGACAAATAAATATCCCTTTGTACAAAAATGTGCAATCATTTAAAATATGTTGAAACATTTTCAGTTGAATTTTCGACAGGAGCAGGAAGATACTCATATTGTATTGAAAATCTACTCAAATATGTTGCAACTGGAAGATAGCTTTTGTAAGTGTATTCAGACATAACAAAAGGTTGTCAGTTTACAATAAAACACAGGAATTTAGTATTCTGAGTGTCAAACTTCGCATATGCTAAGTGACGATTTTTTTTGCTTTGGTTCTGGTACGAATAAATAAAGACACATTACATTCTCAACAAGTATGTTTTCAAGCTGTATGTTTGCAAGAGCATACATGTTTGTGACAAATGATATAGACCTTTAAAGCTCCCACTTCAGTTACAGTACATCTGAATACAACTTTGATTATAATCTTTTAGTTGCAACATTTCTGAGTAAAACAATGCATTGATATGTAACTCAATACAAGAGCAACACGTGTCCATAATCCACAATTGTAGTTGGTTTGGAGATGGGGAGGCTCTCATCACAGATTAGGGTTGTTCAGTGTATTTTTAGGAAATATTAATTAATCTCTTACAAATCTGCAACAAGAGAGCATAGACTGGTCTCATAATCTGTGAGATATTAAATTGTAATTACTTTTATGATCTCATGCACTTAATATTATCATCCCAGAGCTGTGCAAGCGGGAGTAAAAACTGCCTCCCTAATGTGTGACTATATCTTTTACTGGAGCACAATTTCAGGGTATAAAACAGATGCGTCTTTTACAGCTACACACGTAGGTCAAATTAATGTTTACAGATACATTTCCTATTAAAATGAATTTGATTTGTTTGATTGTGTAGCCATGGGTATAACTGTTAAACAAATCTAGGTTATTTTGGGATAAGAACATATCTGCACACTTCATTGACATCATAATGCAGCTAATTTGAGAGAAAAAAGCTCGGTCTCACATTATGGTCAATGAAACAGCTCTAGGATGTATTTTAGGTAGGGATGAGTCATACAACCCAATCATTTCTGGTTGATATTTACAAATGTAAATCAAACTGTTGAATACCACAGGGGTTAAGGGTTACTTTAAACTGATAAGTGTCCCACTTTGTTACTCAATCCTGTAACACACAATGTCCAGAAATTCATATAGTGTAGCTCACACTGCATTGTACTTATAAATGTCATGAAATGGTTCTGCCTGTTTTTCAAACAGGGTCTGATTCCTGATAAAAATAGAAACATTGCAACAATGCATCCGATGTGACCGCCCAGGTGTCAGGTCTCTCAAAACTGTGAAAATGTTGTTCGCTTCTCCAGAACTTCAAGGTAGTCTGGATCAATATGAAGCTTTGCTTTCAGTTCCCAGTACTCACTCCTGTTGGGCTCCACATACACAGTACTTGGTGCTGCACAATACAGTATTGTCTGTTGTATTCTGTCTGGCTGCACGTATTGATTCCTTGCATCAAAGTCTGAGGTATACAGACTTGAAGAGCGTGCCGCATGCCTGCATGGCAACGTATTGCTGTAGCGTGTGTGCTTGTCAGGTTCAAGTACATCTCTGTAGTAACACTCATGATCATCTCGGTGAGGGGTGGAGGGCTTGTTAAGAGGCTCTGGAGTGGTGGCACTGTATTCCAAGCTTATTACATTACTGGCTGCCTCTTCATCCGAGTTACCCAGAAAAGCATTGCTCAACTCGTCAAAGTCTCTAAATCCATCCACTGATTTGCTGTCCGTCGGGGTTTGGGCAGTAGTTCTGCATGTGGGTTCTGCGGGAGGCGGGATGAACTCATATACATGTCCTGCAGATGTTCTGACTTTGGGAATGGATCCCTTTTTGTAGAGGCCGTATTCAATGTTGAGAGAGCTAATGCAAGCATTCATGGAGTTATTATGCTCTATTTGACACTTTTGATGTCTCTTTTTCATTACCACGAATAATCCTGCAGCCACAAACACAGACACAATGAAGATGAGGAGAAGGGCTAGAATCATCACAGATAAAGGAATGGCGCTGTATTGTGTGTCATAATCCAAGGATGTTTCTATGGTGATAGTGCTGCCAGGAAAAGATTCTTCCGAGGGTGGGATCATGGAGGCAAGTATATCAGAGTTATTAGGGCAGAAATTTGTTGTCTTAATGTATCTCATATCCTCCCCAGCTAGCTTCTTAGGCGATCCACAGATGACATTGTTTACAACCGTGCCTGTGCTAAGCTGCTCCAGCCACATCTTCAACTCCAGTATGCTACAAGAGCAATCCCAGGGATTCTCAAACAAATCTACCTGCACCAGTGCTGTTAGCTGATCTAGCACGCCGCTGACCGGCAGGTATCGGAGATGGTTGCTCCGAAAATTCAGTCTGGCCAATGTGAGGCCGTTTAATGTTCCGACTGGTAAAGTTTTCAAGAGGTTATTGTTCAGAAAAAGAAGCTGAAGTTTGGGAACATGCTGAAAGGTGTCAGAAGTCACCTCTTTAATGATATTGTATTCCAAGTATAAGAACTGTAAAGTCTCCAGGCCATAAAACATGTTAGCTGTAAGATGGTCAATCACATTCCCATTAAGGTATAGTCTTCTTAGATGTGTCAAATCGCCAAAAGCTCGGTCATGTATGCGAGATATTCGATTGTTACCCAGGTGAAGCAAATCTAATCCAGTCGCCTCAATAAAATCTGATCGACGCACCACAGGGATAAAATTCCCAGTTAGATACATCTTTTTGGGATTGTAAGGTTTGGGATTTAAGTCGGAGATGGACTCAATTTTTCGCTCTTGGCAGTTCACATTCAGGCCAAGGTCTGATATTTGAAGGTTACATGTGCAGGCAGTTGGGCAATCTAAAGGCACAGGGGATTTGGTTTGATATGAAATAATTTGCCCATAATTTTGTGGTTTGTTTGATGAGATCCGAGCAGTGGGCCTTGATTTTAATTTTCTTGACTGGCGGGGTCCCTTAGTGGGTCTTGATGAGGATCGTGCAATTGCAGATGATGTGAAGGAGGCTGGGAGTAGAGCTGGTGAGGTCCTATAGTATGCATCGGTGCTCAAATGTGGCAGCTGGGGCATCTCATATTCAGCAATGGCTCTCCTCGGGCACAACTCCTGTTTTGAAACTTCATCGAGATCTCTCCCATGAAGCCGGAAAGGGAACTCACAAACAACGTCTCCAACTAAAGCTGAATATGATATGCTCTCGAGCCAGGTTTTAAGAGCAATGAGCTCACACGAACAGTTCCACGGATTCTCCTCCAGCTGTAACTCCACAACGCTGTTCATGTGCTCCAGCAGACCTGAGTAGGGGAGGACTTTAAGCTGATTCCCCCTTAAGTCTAAATGAGTCAAGGGTACATATTGGAAAATGTTCACAGGCAGAGAAGATATTAAGTTGTCATTTAGAATCAGGACCTCCAGATGTTGAAGTCTGCTCAAGGCATTAGGCGCCACGTGAGTGATATAATTATTATCAATTTGTAGATATTCCAGACTTTCAAGGCCAAAGAAAATCTCTTCCTTCAAGGCATCTATTTTGTTATTGTTGAGATGCAATCGTTTTAATCCCTGAAGTCCATTAAAAGCTCCTGCTTCCACTTCAGATATGTCATTATTTCCCAGATGTAATATTGTAAGTCCTTTGTAGTCAACAAAGTCATTAGCAGATAGCTTTTTCAAAAGGTTCCCTGTTAGCAGCAGATGATACTGAGAGAAGTACACTGGGCTTATGTCTGAGATACTTGAAACTCCTCTGTTTTCACAGCTCACTGTGAGAATGCCCTCTCTCTCCTCACAGGCACACAGTCGTTGACATATTTCTCCATAACTGCCAAACATCTCAACAATGCACACTGACATTGCACTTAGCAAAACATATGAAATCCAAAGATGCATCTTCGTGCACAATGATGGCCGAGCTCACAGTCCTGCTAAGGTATCCTCAATGTCATCTAGAAATAAAAGACATACATGGTGATGTAAAACAATCAGACTGCAATGAAAGCAACTTCCACACAACAAGCTGTAGCCTACATAAGTCAAAGGTTAATTTGCTGTTATCCAACACAAGGGTCACTTCTGGCTGTGTGGCTGCTGATTCTATAATGGCTCAAACAAGGCAGCATAGAAAGCAACTCCTCAAGCTATGTAAACATCAAAAAAGCAAGGTCAAAGCTGTACATAAGCATTAAACAATGGATTAACTCCAATGTGAGGCGAAGCCACATCACGTTTGCTTGTTAAGAAATAAAAATAAAAATAAAATCAGTTTAAATGAAATATTTGTAAAGTAAAGAAGGTTAGCTGAGATTCTGCATGACAAAGCACGCCTTGTAAGACGTCAAACAGTCAGCTTAATTTCTGACCAAGTCCTGGTAGACATACCTCACGCACATTGATGAAGATGAACACTCGTTGGGTTGTAATTCAGCGCATCTTCTATTTTTAATCCGTCAAAACGAAGGAGGAAACACAAGCTTACGTTCGCCGTTTTTAATGCACCGGAGAGGATGAAAGAAACGCTGATAAATCATAACTGCCAAATGCTTCTGTTTAACGACGCTGTGCCGTAGGAGACACTATGCCTGGTAACAAAGTTGCTTATTCGCGCTCTCTCTCTCTCTCTCTCTCTCTCTCTCTCTCTCTCTCTCTCTCTCTCTCTCTCTCTCTCTCTCTCTCTCTCTCTCTCTCTCTCTTCTCTCTCTCTCTCTCTCTCTCTCTCTCTCTCTCTCTCTCTCTCTCTCTCTCTCTCTCTCTCTCTCCCCCTCCGGACGCTCACGCACGCACGCACGCACGCTCGCTCGCTCGGTGGTCGGGAGGATGTCAAGTCATTTCATGCACAAAGAATCAACTCAGTGGAGCATCGATATACATCCCCCCCAAAAGATGTTGACCTACCTACAGAAAAGATGTCCCAAACATATCAACAAATCACCGTGCTATGAGCACTCCTTCGTTCAAACGGTCTGTTAAACAGCTTATCATGTAATTCATTCTGAAAACAAAACCCACTGGATTTTCATAATCTGTCTATCCCGTAATGTTTATTTATGTAGCTGCTTTTTTTTTACACATCCCACTTGAGAAAAGCAGTAGTTCACAGTGCATAAGGTGCTCTGCAGGTGCCCATATATCAAACTACCTCAGTGGTCAGAGGTTGTTACATTTTAATGGTAAAGGTTCAGTGAGAATTTTTGTAAAAATCCAGGTAACAGTCATCCCTTGAATGAACTGTAAAACGGAATCCATTACAGCCAGTGAAAAGCTGCACTAAAGTGCTTATATGGCCCGTGCAAAAGAGCCATAATAATCATGTCATCCACTGCCTATGCATCCACACTTTTCCATGGATATTGATCTACCCCCTGTGCTAGCAACAAGCTGCATATAACTCAAAGTAGTCTTGTCTTGTTTATTTTTGAAATAAAATGTAAAACTATGAGTCACAGAGTATGACTCATTGCCCTTATTGAGTTTGTTTTCACCTGATCTTAATGGAAAAAACCAAACAATTGTAGCATGAGTTCTTGCGGCAGTATAATTAGACTGAATTATTCAACTCTCTCATTTTCATATATCAGATGGAGCATCTGGTGGGACATGTTGGTACGAAATGTCGTGTCAGTTCAGTGACAGAGCGCAAAAGGTAAGGAAGGAGACCTGTCATGCTCATCCCCACCTGATGCAGTTGCACTCGTGTGGAAACATGTCAAGAATGGTGTTGTATATCGCTGTGTCCTCGCGGAGCTATATCCATCATCCTCCCCACTTGGCTCTTGCTCACATGGGAGGAGAGGAAGCACATCAGGGACATTGCCTGTGGCTCATATTAGAGAGTATGAAGACTGTATTCATCCTGCATGCAATTCATTTGCTTCTGTTTTCTCTGCCTTCAGAGGTTTTTGCTGCATATTTGGCTCTCAGAATTAGCTAAACCACATCATTACACCACTATTTAGCATAAATTAGCATTTAGGTTTCTTGCACTATGATAATAAAGTGTTCAACTGGTTCAAAATAGTAATCATCACCATCATCTGAATGAAAGGATTCAGGTTTATTTTTTTTAAATATTAAGGAAATGCTATTTCAAATTTGACTATGTACATGTTGTGTGGTCACATTTTGCTTACGTTCCAACAAATCTTTGCATCTCCCTGCAGTATGATAATGAATACTGTTCATCCATGGTCACAATGTGCAGAGGGAACATGAGGCATACACAGGCGATGCATGATACGAGCCTCATTTAATACCCCTCCAAGTCTTCCACGACACTGAACATAATCTTCACCAACTGGGAGCAGAAGACAGCAACCACAACACACACACACACACACACACACACACACACACACACACACACACACACACACACACACACACACACACACACACACACACACACACACACACACACACACACACACACACACACACACACACACACACAAATAAATCAGCATATCAAATGTGTGGAAAAACATGATGATGACTAATAATGTGCTCCAAGGTCAGTAATACACAAATGGAGTTGGAGCTGTGCCACAGAGGATGATGGGTATTACTTCTGATATATGTCCCTTACAGATGGTGGGTTGCACTTTGTCATCTTTGTTCAACACTCTGCATCCCATGAACTTGTTCTGCTACTGTCCGATAGAAACATTACTCTGAGGGATCTCAAAAGCTTCAGAAGTGGTGTTAAAAAAGCAAACAACACAGTCCTTTTCACATTACTGTGTCAGAACCGACTGTATGGTCAACACATTATGCAGGATTTTTTTCCCCACAGAGAACACGCTAAAGCTTTTGGACCCTTGAATATTTACTCAAGTGGTCGAAATATAATTTGATATAATCTGGAAAACGAAAGGAAAAAAAATGTAACTAACTAATTCCGGTATTTGCAATTCAAACTGTATTTGCAGGCCTGGAACTGAAAGAGCCACACATGGAGTGAGGGGATAGTCAGACAAGGCTTTAAGAGACAGGACTGGGAAGAATGGGCCGCGAGGGGAGGACATGCAGTCTGCCTGACACACTGCATCATCTCTGAAAATACCGTCCGTTGGGGAGGTGCAGTGTTTTTCCAACAAGTCCCTTGTCTTCCCTGAAATGAAGCCGTTATTGAATGACAGAAAGAGGTCACTTATGTCAGTGCCAGGTGGGTACAGAAAAAGCAGAATAGGAATATCTGGAATGGCGGAAACCGTTTCAGGAGGAAGGCTTAGGAGAAGGAGAGGGCAGCAAAAGAATGTGAGCAAGTTTGTAGGAGCATGAAAAACATCTTGGTTACAAGACATCTAACAGCAGGCAGCCTGAGAACATGCCTCACAGAGTATCTCTGGTCTCCCTAGAGGAGGATGGGGGAGAAAAAGATGATGGCCATATTATCAGCCATTATGGATGACACTTCTTACCTCCCCATGGATCCCTAAGTGCCCAGAGCAGCTCCTTCTCTGGCAGGCAGCTCCATAAAAAAGTGGCTCCACAACATGTTTTTCATTTCCACTGCCACAAGGCCCTGCAGTCTTTACTATTCTCATAAATAACGCTATTAACTATACTTAAAAGTGTTTTTGAACTATTCATATGGGTATATCTATATCTATATCTTCTAAACATTGTTGTCATTCACTTATTTACAGTACAATTATGCTTTCATTGAAGTTCTACTCATAGCATTATGTCTATTTATTTTATAGTCAATTAACTCTTATTTCTTTATTTCCAGTGCAATCTCATACATTTTTAGTTATTTGTCACACACATGTATGTATCACTCTGATCTAATTTGCATATGACACTGAATTTCTTGAAGTCAAATGTCATTTATTGTGTTCTTGAAAACAAGATGGCGGTTTTGCATCTTCATCTTTTAATCTACCCCTGCAGCCCACCAAACTGCACTCTCTTAACTCATCGGCCACACCACTTCATCCAGACCTGACCTCAGATATCCCTTAACACCGCCAACTGGCATCCTGAACTTTGTGAAGTATGGACATTGAAGTGGATTTCTGGGCTTATTCCATTTGACCTTTAAAGGACTGACCGTTGTGTTATAATTGACATTTTCCCCAACAACAGTTTCTTACACCCTGAGGGTGTGTGTGTGTCTCTCTTTGAATTAGTGCTCCTGCGCTCTCCTGTATTATTTTTGCAAAGTCCCATTTTTTTATGGTCCTATATAAAGGGCTGAGTTAGAAAGTGTTGCTGTATTTTCCGTTAAAGCCTATTGAGATATTAATGTAGTATTAGCACAATAACAGATACACTTGACGACAAAGGAAAAGGCAACGTGATTCTATTTATTGAGCACCTTAGTGTTGGAGCAATATATTATTACATATTTTTTAACAACCATAAAATGTCTCTGCTTTTTTATTAGACTGCCCTTCTCCTGTCACATTTTAACGTTCCCTAGCGAGATCTATAAAGTTTTTCCTATTTCATAGTAGCCATAATTTTACATATACTCATCATAACCTTTTAATATCAAGGGCTCACCATTCGTTACTCATCCTGCTGCGGATGACTGATGCGCCTTAGAATAAGTTGTGTGGTAAACTATCTATACTTTATGTGTTGAGTTGCACTACTGCTTTGAAGTATTTCATTATTTCCCGTCAATAATCTGAAGCTCTCCCACATTTTCTTTGAGATCTTGTGGAAATGTTTTAAGTGCTATGGGTGTCTATGAACCTCAGTAGGGACACTGCTGCTCAGAACATGCAACTAAATCAGAGCTTTTGTTTTTATGCTAGATGCTTTGGCACCACCTGTTGGTCAATGTTAAGAAATACAATAGGGAGGGGTATACAAACAATGGAGGAATAGGAGATAAAAGGAAGGATTGCACCTGAGAGTAATTGGTGGTTAGTGAGGCATTCAGATGTCTCCTTATGTATGAGTAGACATAGTTCTTCTTCTTATTTGATCTGTATAAAGAAAATGCAAATACTTGCAAGTACATTTTCTGCCTTATTTGTCCTTATCATAGTTAATCCGTAGGTGACATGGTACTTTGTCATGAAAAGTCAGCCTTCACTGTTGCCGTATCCCTGCATAATTGGAAATAGAAGGATGAGAAGAAGGCAACATTTAAAGTTATAATCTTTCACCACAGGTCAGGTCAAATGAAATTACTTTTGGGTGATGAGAAATCGACAAAAAAAAAACTGAATTCCTTTTACTGGCTTAACCTTGTTAACAGTTGAGTTTCGAGTTTGCTTTAGAAAATACAAGAGTCCATTGAAGAGGTAAGTCAGTACATCTGAATAATAGTGCCAACAGCCATGGTCAGAATGTCATTTCGCATCCTTGGCCGTTTCATGTCTATACCATACAGTGAGAAATAACTGGAGTGAAATTGTATTGCAGCCATTTCTATTTGCTTCAGGTACAGTCAGGTTACTAAACTCTTACTGCTGGTAACCACACGTGCACAAACTGTCTTTGATCTCGGACAAGAAAAGAGTACTTCACTCCAACATCTGCAAGTTTATAATGACTCAGGTGAAAATTGTAGCTAAACATATAATATATTTTAACAGAAAATAAACATATGAC